AATCAGAGGTCGGAATTGAGAACCCTTAGCTGTGTGCGAAGATAGGGAGATTCATACATTAGAACTTTTAGTTTATCCTATATATTTTATTGGACACAACCCGAGCTGTAATTGAATTTACACGCTCGCAATATATATAATAATTGTACAGAAAATTTATGTTATTTTATAGCTTATCTTTCAAAGATTATGTATATAGAATATTATGTTACTAAATTTTCTAGAACTCGAGCAATTAAAATAAAAGAAATATGATCATTTTTGGAAAGAAAAAAATTTGACATGAAAATTTTTAAAAACCTACATATTAACATATTATGAGATTTTCAGATATGATGATTTAATTTTATCTGATTCTTGAGAAAAAAAATTTTTACATAACTTTGGATAGTATTTTTTTAATCAATTTTTTAAAGATTTGATAAAATTTTAAAATCATTTTTAATAGTAAAATTATATTATATTTTTTTCTTTTCAAAAATGATCGGAGTTTGTTTTTTTATTATTATTTGAGCTGTATAAAAGCTGAGAATCTAAAATTTTAGATTTAAACACATGAATACTAGGATCCAAATAATATAAAATTTTTCGCATAATTATTATGTACATTTTTGTGTAATTAATGTATTTGGGGTGTCTGAAACTTTTGCTAAGGTGTATATATAATGCTTCTTAACAATGGCATATGAATACATTTTGTACCTTCAGTATACTAAGAACTGACCCACTTAGTGTGCTTTCAGTTGTTTACTAACAATACACTGACCCACTTTGTATTTTCATATGCAGTTTTTTTTTTTACTGAAAACAATAAATTTTAAAAAAATTTTTTTCTTTTATTTAATTATGAAATGAGTCAATACAAACAACATCAACATCAACAACATCCGAAAATATTATTAATAGTGATGAAAATGATGGGAATCATTTGATAATAATTTCTTTGCATAATTAGTTCTTTCTAAACTAAATCCAAAAGTTTTAAACAGAGGTTTTAGTTGTTCAAAGGATGGTAGGGAGATACTTGAAAGAGCTTGGCAAGCTGAGATATATTGTAGCTTGTATGAATGCCTGTCAGAAATAAGGTTTCTTGCTGAAACCTCTTAATGACTGCCGAAACTCTAATAAACAATTAATGTGTACCTTCTGAAACTCTGCTAATTGTCAAAATCCCTAAATGCAAAACTCTGAATATGCCAGAACAAGAAAAAACTGCAGATCTGATTAAAATACGAAAATGATTTCAGAAATCTTAATTTTGTTAATAATAAGTATTTTATTAAAATTCTTTATAATATAAAGGTTTCTAATGTTATTGAGTATATAAGATTTCTTATTGGATTTACCATGGAGGTGTTATACAATTTTGAGGGTTCTGACACAATGGCAAATTTTTTGTCGATTTTTGATACATTTTTGATACCATTTTACATCATTCAAGCTCCTTGATATCCATTAATCAATTTCAGATATCTTCCAAAAACAACAACCAATATCATTTCTGAAATCCTATCAGAAGCTAAATAGACAAACAAATAATTACAATAAAATTGATAAAGGAATAAAATTTTCCAATTAAAGATAACATGATAGTATATAAAAAACAACGAAAATGTTTACATATATAAAACAAGCAATAGCAAATTTCTTAAACAATAACAAGGACCCATTTGATGCAGGAGAGCTTCTAGAAGTGCAGGAAATAGTAGAGTATGTAGAGGTAAAAACGCCGCATTTATCAGCAGAATTGATATAGTCACATATTTTTTATTCCTGATTTTTTTTATATTAAAATTAATCATATATAGACACTTTCATATTGTAATTACTATCACTAATATTTGACAGTTCCATAACGTATTACAACATATAAATTTCATCATATATAATCACCAATTCATGTGACTGTAAATATTATTGAATTTTAATAAATTGTTACCATTGGAATTATCATTACCATTATTGTTGTTATTATCATTACTATCATTATCATTATCATGTCTCAACCAAAAAAAAAACAGCTATTAGTGAGCAATTGAAAAGAGAAATTTGTATATATTACCAAGAAAACATTTAGAAAACTCATCAAGAAATTGCAAATTATTTTAGTGAAAAATTTCATTGAATTTTGATAGGTCATCAGTAACAAAAATTTTACATGATAAAGAAAAATGGCTAGATGCTTTATCTACAACCCATCTTAATACTTTTTGTTGTAGACAAGTGAGGTTTCCTGAACTAGAAATAAGCAATGAACATATGGATTGGACAAGTCAATGAAAGTGACCTAACCATTGTTGTTTTTTTTTATATAATTATTATTATATTTTTATGTTTCTTTGTTCAATTATTTCTGATGATCTGCAAGTGTCCTTATATTTATGACCAGTGAGTGTATCACTTAACAAATGGGACATTATAAAACTAATTGTGATGATAATAGCTAAATTTTGATCCCTGAAATTCTTGGTAATACTAGTGTTCACTTTGTCTGGTTTTGTTGCAGCATGCCCCATTTAAATAATGCAAATTAGATAATAAAATCTTTTCATCTGTTGGAGTTTTAATGTAAAGTAATCATATTCATACTATTCACACTAATCAAAACTTAACCACCAAGATAATAAATGATGATAAATGTGAGAACAATTCATGTTCATCTTCAACTGCTGAATAAAAATATTATTTTGAAAATTAATATATGCTTTATGAGAAACATTTGGAATAATATCAGCATCAATTATTGGTTCTTTTGCATAAGAATGATAATTAAGTAATAATATTGTTAGGATTGTTTAATGATAAATCTGAATTTTGTTCTATGAGGTCTATAAAAATAAAAGTAAAATTTAATATTTAAGATAAAAACTTGATATTTATTTATTTAAATTTATCTAGACATCTACCAGAGATTTCTTAATGATCTTCCCACAAGGTTTCTTGAAACAAATGATATGCTTGTGGACTAGTGCTAGATTGGGAAGGATATTTTATATTTTGTAGCCTGTACAAAAACTTCACATAGATCAATAAATATCAAAACCACCATTGTTTCCCAATGATTCCAAAATTTTTTTGTATTATCTTCAGGCCTATTAAAATAACACCACAAAATTTAATGTATTGCCATTGTTGCAGTGTTTAAAAAGATAATTATTTGATAAAGATTTGTTCATCAGGATTTTTTTACAAAATTGTGTCATCTGAGTAATAAATGAATAATACCAGAAATGAAACTTTTAATAATGTGGGTCTACCCAGTTCTCTGGGATTCCCAAAAAATAATAAATCTGATATTGATCATAGGTATCAGATTTAATAATTTTTCTTATCACAAACAAGCAGCTGGTGCTTACACACACCTTATAACTGTGAATTTTTTCCATGGGGAAGGCCCCTACATGTTGGAAGGTTTTTGACAAGTGAGAGCTTCTGCAAAGGCCTTATCTTCTTTTCAGACCAGGCTTGGCCATTGCCATATGGGCATTGATTATTGACAAGCATGTAGTATTTGCTTCACGTTACCCTAAAGTTGGTGCCTAAAACTTATTTGAAATTCTGCAATCCAAGGGGTTCAACCTTGTTTTGTTGGTGACACACCCACTCACCAGCAAAAGCTTGGACTTATGGTAGATGGCTATTTTGGCAGAGGCCCAGGTCCCCTACCAGAAATAATTAATTTATATAGAACATACCAAACAAATCTGAACTATTTTATTTATGGCTTTTCTCTTAGTGCCAGAGATCATGGTGACCATTTGGGGCAAAGTACTTGAACATGGAGGATATCCGGCAGGCCCCTTGGAAAGAAAGAGCCCAAATGCAATTTCATAAAATTCAGAGTGGGGACTCTGAATTGCAACCTCCTAAGCTTGAAATGAGGTATGGTGCGAATCATCTAAAGACATCACGTGCTGCGCCACTTACCAAAATTTTTATGCTGATCTTGCTTTATAAAGAATCTAATATATAAAATAAATCCAAATTTGTAAAAGATCTGTGACTTTGTCACGTGAATAATTGGTAAATAATCTGTAAATTGCAGTTTAGATATATAGTTGCCGAAATTTCAAATAAAATAGCAAAGTTACCCAACTTTAAACCATTATAACTTTTTTTTTAATTAAATAACTCAAAAAAAACTTTCTATTACATTATTTTTCATGTCTAGAATATTGCAAAAATAGAGAGTTTTTGGTAAAATAGCCCATATTTAATAAAGTATCAGCACTTAAAGATTGGCAACATTTGATGATGTCTTTAGATAATTGCCACTATAGTTTCCTTTCCATTCATTGTACTTACTTATTATTGCATTATATATTTTTATCTAGGGCTTTCTTATTGTTCCTAGTTGCAGGGCCATCTTTGGTTCAGTTTCTTTGGAGTGGTAAAAGAAAATGCTCTGTGGCAATGCATTTTTAAAATTTCTTTGGCTGAATATTTATCCTATTATGTATGTCATCAGAGGATTATCTACGCAGAAAAGTTCAAGTTTTTGGGAATACATTAATTTGGTATTCACAACTACAACAAATATTATGATTTATAATATTGTTAATATACTTGGTTTTATCATCATGGTTTGGTTTTGATGCACATCCTGCTGCTGGTCATTTCATCCAAGAACATTATACTTTTGAAGATAGACAAAAAATTTATTCTTATTATAAGAGTTTAAACATAGTCTTAATAAATATTGGATATCATAATGAGCATAATGATTTTGTAAAATACATTTCACTAGCTATTCTCAAAATTGTAATTACAATATGAAAGTTCTGCATTTCCAATATTTATTTTAAACTTGTATCGGAAAATGATAAATAAGCAGAATTGAAAACTCCTGAATGTAATATATATAAGACATGCTATAAATTGATCATACTCAAAATTTTCCTCTCAAAATGTATATAATAATATAGATTAGGTTAAAAGTATTATTAATCTATCAGGATTCACTGGTCCTATCATCCATAATCATATTTAATATTAACTTTATCTTTATTAATTCTATTTAACATTTATTTATCTTTATAATTATAATTATCAATTACTATTTTAACCGTCTTTATAATTAGCATGCATCAATCATCATCATCATCATCATCATCATCATCATCATCATATCCTAATAAAAGTGCCAAAGGATTTGTGTTTGCATTAACGTTTTGTGAATATGATTTATTGTTTATATTTGATTTGACATTTGAAGAAGAACCTTCAACATCTTTTATATTTTCAGATATTTCTTTACTATTTTCTATTTTTGCGCGTTTTACATCTCTTGATTGTTCTTTTGAATCTTTGGTATGGTCTTTAATCTTATGGTTTTTATCACTTTTATCATGATTGTCATGATCATCTTTATCTATTATCAAAGATCTTTTCCTTGATGTTGATGATGTTGATGATGAATCACTAGATTTTTTAATTGCATTAGCAAGAATCTTTTGTTGTACATCATGTTTTGAATTTAATTTATTACTAGTCGAGTTAGGTTTGTTAGTTTTTTGTTGTGGCTGTTGATGGTTTGTTATCGTGGTGGTTGTTGCTGTTGTTGATAATAAAGGTTTTGATAATGTTGCTATATCAGCCTCAGCCGCCGCACTAAAAATTAATAATAATATGTAATAAATGATGATAATGATGATAAAAAATTAAGATACTACAATTAATCCAATCATATGAACAGGCTTACTTACCGTCTAAATTCTTCAAGTTCCTTTTCTACTTTTTTTGATTTGTCCAATTCTTTAATTTTTTCTTCATTGTCTAACATTGCTAAAAATTCAATTTCATCTTCATCAAGTCTATGTACCAAGTTACTAAACCGCGTCATCTCTTGAAATGCTTCTTCTTTTTTCATTTTTTGTTCCTGTAATCTTTCATATAACGTGCGAGGATCATATTCTTCTTTTTCTTTTTCGGGTGGTTCTATTAAAATATATATATATTAGTCTTTCTACTAAAAAAGAATGCCTTTATTTTTATTTTTATTAATTGGTGGTTAATACTTTGCCCAAGTCGTTCATAAGCAGCTTTCCATTCTTCTGCCCTTTTACGTTTAGCTTCTTCCAAATCTGTTGAAGAAACAAATCTATGATCCATTTTTCTTTTGTTTAATGATAAATAATTTATATTTACAGTCAAAAAAGTCAAACTTGAAATTTTGATAAATTTCCACGTGGCAAGGTAAATAGTGCATAATTGGTAGTACAAGAACTATTTAATTAAAAAAGAAAATTTTTTTTTTAAAACGAAAAAGATGTTAAAAATTAAATTTTCAAATTTGAATTTTTTATTTCATAAAAGATTTTTTATTAATTATAACAATAATAACAATAAAAATTTATTTTGTTTAAAATAATTTTTCAAAATAATTTTTTTTTACCTGCACAAAAAAATACAATAAAAACGCGCCAATAGATATCAAAATTTGATTCCTAGAAAGTACATATAAAGGTACAAAACATCCAGCTAAAAATACTGAAATTATGATGGTACGTCTACGGCCTAAATATTCTGAAAAATATCCACAAGACATTCCTCCGATTATTGCGCCAACGTTTGCTATAATTAATGTTGTTGTGATTTGAATTGACGTAAATCCAAGTTGAAGTCGAAGAAATGTTGGATATAAATCCTGGGTTCCTAAAGAAAAGAAAAATCACTGTTAATTTTAATTTAATCTCAAACCCCCTCCCAATCATTATTATTTTAACTACCATGGGACATAAAACCAAAACCAGTCATTAACAATATGGTATAAATAAATCTTTTCCAATGATTTTTCAATACTAGTTTAATATCTGCTAACCATAATTTAGTACCACTACCACGACGATTAGAGGAAGAAGAATGATTATTTTTTTCGTGTCGTGATTTCCATACTGGCGATTCTGGCACAAAAAATCTTATGAATATTACTAGCAAAGCAGGAAATGAACCTATCCAAAACAGCGCTCTCCAACCTAGACTATCTATTACAAAATAATACACAACTGATGCTAAAAGATATCCAAATGCATATCCTTGCTGCAAAATACCAGAAAATATACTTTTTGAAAAACATATAGATTTAAAAAAATCGATAATGTAAATTATTTATATCTCTCGTTTTTCTTTTTCAACTCTCAAAAAATGGAATAAAAGCTTCCTACCCACGAGTTTCAGGTGGTAAAGTTTCCATTGCCATAGCAGCGCCTAAACCCCACTCACCACCCATTGCGATTCCAAAAATTGCTCTAAAGACCATGAAAATTGTAAAATTTGGAGCAAATCCTGATAATAATTCCATCAGACTATATAAAATTATATCAAGAATCAAAGGATATCTTCTGCCATAACGATCTGCTAAAAGACCAAAAATCGCAGCACCAAGTGGACGTAACATTAACGTTACCGTAATACTTGATAATAATAAAGAAAGATTAAAATTGAAAAGGTTCATGTTTATTTTTTTAATCATCAATTAATTCCTATTGTTTATTACCTTGCAGTGATTGTTGAAGGCGGCAATTTAAATTCTTCGGCGATATAAGATACAGTAAAATTGAGTATGAAAAAATCAAATGC